AGACTAAGAGGATGGTGGGCAAGTAAAGTGGTCTGAAGAATGAAATCTGGAGGAAAGTAAAAGAAGGCCTGAGGATGCAGGGCTGACAATAACAAAGACTCTGGGTCCAAGCAATAGATTTTAATGATAGAGGAATTTGGAGGCCTGGGAAACTCAGAGTGCCTTGAGGATGATAGCTAAGGGGAGCAGAGACAGAGAAGAGCAGTGGGCTGAATCTAGGGAAGACTGGGAACAATGAGTTTGGCCAATGTGTTTGGAGTAGATGGATCCTAGGGCAGATGAGAACAGATGGTGACATGGCCAATAAACCGAGCATAGTAGAGATTACACGGTAAAGAATTAGGGAATGCCAATTGCAGAAAATGGGGAAAGTGAAATGGACAGAAATGAGGAAAGCTGTGGACAGAGGTGAGAAGAACATTTTAAAGCAGGAAATGACTAAGGGTTACATACCCCAAGGAAGAAGGAGACATTGATGGGAATGTCAAGAAGAAAATGTAAGAAGACAGGACTGGGGATCTACACAAGCAGGTGATGGCTTGGGGTTAGAGGGTCCTGATTCTAAAGAGGATAAAGGAGAGTGAACTAGAAAGCGCGAGGAATCACCTTATTTTGGGGATTTGGGTGAAGCAGAAAGTTTTCCCCAAACTTCCCAGAAAGATCTGATGGGACACGACAACTTACTGCCCTCGCATTTGTTGAACACTACTAGATTCCTCATCCTTCTTGACCAAAGAGATACTTCATGTCCTTAGAGACACACTCTCTAGAACTCTTTTTTTTTTTTTTTTTTTTTTGAGATGGTGTCTCACTCTGTCACCAGGTTGGAGTGCAGTGGCGTGATCTCGGCTCCCTGCAACCTCCACTTCCCGGGTTCAAGAGATTCTCCTGCCTCCACCTCCCGAGTAGCTGGGACTACAGGCACACACTACCATGCCCAGCTAATTTTTGTATTTTCAGAAGAGACGGGGTTTCACCATGTTGGCCAGGATGGTCTCAATCTCTTGACCTTGTGATCCTCCCACCTTGGCCTCCCCAAATGCTGGGATTACAGGCATGAGCCAGGATGCCTGGCCTCTGTAACTCTTTAAATGGCTTCCTGGAGAATCTGTCAGTGGTGGGTGAGAGGCAATAAGGAAAGGGAGATTGTATCTCCAGATTTCTCAGCATTTCTCAGACTCCCTTAGGGAGCTGACCACTGTATGGACTCTCTTGTGACCTTGACTAGCCCTGGAGGTCCAGCCCATTGTTAAGATAGATTGGTTCTGGGTCTACTTTTGGAAAGGCTTGAGAGGCCTCAATAGCTCAGTTTGACTGGGCTATACCCGAATGGTTTCTGAAAGTTGGATGGCATGATGAAAGGATAATTTGCTCTGTATTTGTCTTTCCTTGGCTAGATTCTCAGGCTCAATTGTTACCTGGATTATCTAATTTCTTCCCTCTTCAAGTATGAGAAAGGGGACTGAGGAGGAAAGGAACAATCTGCAGTCAGGCTCACAGGCTAGGAGGGAGGAAAAATAGACTTGGGAACCTAAATGCTTTGTTATGATGGGTCAGAAAATGCATAATAGGAATGGAGAAATGAATATGGGGCAAGACCTCATGAAGATGAAGTGTCTGGAAAAGGACTCAAGGGCTTTTGCATTGTAGGTATGTATGTCCATTTTACCCTTCCTTAAGGGTTGGGAGTTATGAACTGAACATCTGCACAGTAGGTCTCATTCTATAGGCCTGACATTGCAAAGCACCTTTTCCAGCCTTCCTAGAAGGTACTCACAGTAGGAAAGACCTGGGCTCACTCCTCGGGGGTGAGATAGTAAGAGGGAGCTGATAGCAGGTAGGAACATGGGAAGATGGTATATGGTAACACTTCCATAAGTTGTGCTCACAATAGATGTGGATTAATAAGGTTTACGGCATCATAGGGCCTGGGAGATGAAAGTATAGTATGTAAGGGCTGTGTTATCTAAATGACAAATTCACTGTCTTACTCCATGTAATAGCCTTTAGAATTTAAAATATGGACTAGTTGATGTAGGAACATTTAGAGAAGCTGTAAGTAAGACCACAGTAGGATGTAGGATTTAATTGGACCAAAGGGAAAATTTGGAGGGCATTTATCATATGTATCCCAGCAACACCTTGTGAATGAAAGAGTGTATGAGCATCACTAGTTTGTCTGTAGGGTCGCAGAGTGGTATTCAATTAGAGGTATGAGTAATGTTTGAGTCACAGATCTTTGGAGAATTAAATCAGTACAGATTTTTTTTTTTTTTTTTTTTGGAAGGTGAATGTACTTTTCTTCCAGAGAGTTTACGTAAACATGAATGACATACAGCTAGTTTAAAAGAAGAAAAAGATGTACTAGCTTCAATCATTTTGAGTGACATGACTTCACCTTTCCTGCCCTTTAAAACTATAGATTTATTTGATTGTTTGCCTTCTTATTTTAAATTAAAACCTAGTTTAAGACATTATTGACACTACCAAGAGGCTCTGTCTGTTTTATGGATGATGAAGCAAAATGCGATGTCAGAGAGACGTCTCTTATTTGAAAAAAGTCCTCAAAGTCCAGAGTACTTTTGTTGATGCACATTATAAGTATAAGGGGAGCTGGAGAGACTTGGTGATGGGCATTTTTTTGCTGGAATGAAGAGATTTCTGTGGGGTGGTGAGAGGAAGATGAAGGAAGGGTATTCAAAGGGAAAGAAGCAACCCAGTCAATAGAGTTGAGAATTAACTCATGGAATAGAGGATAAAAGGGGACAAACACTCTGCTTTATGAAATCTCAGCTGATCTTTATCAGTAGCATATAGGTTAGTGCCCCTAGTTTATAATGAGGAAATGGAAGATCAGAGTTAAGGAATTTTCTCAGAGTCTAAACCAACTAAGTTATACAACTTCCTATGAAGATGGATCTTTCTGCTCCCAGAGTTATAGCCTTTGTATGGACTTGCAAATTGGTATTTTATTTGGTGAGTAATAAGTTGATTCCTTCTTTTCTCCCATAGTTGTTTTAGGGTCATTCCTGCGTTGGAATTTGCCTATGGGATTCTTGAGAGTAGAACCATGCCATGATATATCTCTCCATCATTGTATTCCCAGCACCAAGTGGGAACATTGCAGACAATGAATGAAGCTCCTGGAGGGAGTTGGAGAGCTGGGACAACACATGATCTTGTAAGAAGCAGTGATACTTTGGATGTCACTCAGGGGGCTGATAGATTTCTGGGATATAGGACAATATCTTTATGAAGAGCAGTGTGTGTGTGTGTGTGTGTGTGTGTGTGTGTGAACACTGAGCCTGGCAGGAAGTTATCTTGAGAGTCTAGTTTTTCCTTTCCCTTACATTGGAATGGTTCATTGCTAGCCTGTGCTGTTAAGCTTCCCTTTACAATCATATAGACCCCTTGACTAACTCTTTCATCAGCACCTTGTGACTAGCCACTCAGAGTAATACAATCTCTGGATAGAAAGGTCTATTCTGTGCCTTCTTGTTTCAAGTCTATAATAGACACAATTAGTCACACTTTTCTGAGCTCCCATCTCTAGGTCGTAGATGGAAGGCAAGCCTGGTTGGAGTAGCTGCTTTCTCCCATGTGTTAGAAAGAGTCTTTTGCTTATATTCCTGATCTGACTGAATTGCTTTGGTTGTGTTCTCTACCATGTCTCATTCCTGGGGCTATATGAATGGGTAGGGAAGTGGGAGATGCTGTAATTGTAGTCTTAGAGTCAGAAAGCCCTTAAGGGTTTTCTAATCTAATCATTTCATTTAGTCATATTGTTTCTTTCCTTGGCCATCACCTGGCCTCACAGGTTAGAAATAACTATATTGTATGATTGGAGTTGGCTGGCAATGTCCAGAACTGGAGGCCATGGAGACACACCGTGAGGGAGGAGGGATATCTGAGTTGGCTCTCTGCTTTTATTGTAACCTTTTGATGGGGAGTGGGGTGGTGAACACAATTAGTCTTTAAATCAATGCATTGTCATCAGGAACCAAGAATCCAATTATAACCATGTGTCTGGGAACCAAATAGGAGAAAGTGAGCTGAAGTGAGGTAAGAAGGATTTAGATTAGACATTCAGAAGAATGGGCTCAGTGGAAATTATAAACAACAGTGATTATGGAATTGTCTTCTCTGAGAGGCTTCTAAAAATAGAAATCATTTTCTTGGATCTGAGCTGGGTATATGGTTATGGAGGGTTGGTCACTTTGATTATACTAGGATACTTATAGCAAGCACAGGTAGCTGAGAAATCCTTGTTCTTCAAAGTAGGTAGCCCTGGGGAAAAAGGCTGTCAGAGACTTGGGGCTGAGGAAGGTGGGGGAAAGAGATACAGGTATTTATGGAGGGCTATTTGAGGACATCTATTTCATCAGAGATCTGCCACTCTCCCCCTCCAACCCTATGTGTACAGACACTCTCCCTCCCTCTCTCTCATACACACACTCTCTCACACACACATATACGTTCACACATCCTTACACACTGAACACACACACTGAACACTGTTTTTTCTTCACTCCCATTCTTAATTCTAGTGAAGATGCTGAAGGAACATCAGACTCCCGGTACCTCTTGCCTGGGCTTGACAGATACAGTTCTTATTGCTGAGAACCAGACCAGTCTCTTAGAACTCAGCTGCCATTCTCTGCTGCCGTTGTTCACAGTGTTCCTTTACAGAAGCAGCTCCTTTGTCTCTGGGATCGAGGGTTTTCCTGAATCCCCAAGCGTTGCCCAGCCCCTGTCTGAGAATAGCTGGACTGGGATGAAACCACAGTGAGCGAGTGGGGGTGGAGGTAGAGATGGCTTCTGCGTTTTCTGCAGGGTTGGGTGCACTCTGCTTAATTAGCATGAGAATCGAGAGATTTTCGTATCATCCCTAAGGGATGGAGAGGAAAGGAGAGCAAAGGCTCTAGTTCTGTCCTATTCCATCAGGGATTCTGAGTCTGGTAAATTGACTGCTGTCACATTCCTCCAATCCTCTGGGGACCATCAGACCCACAGTATTGAGAAAAGCTTTGATGAAGCCGGCTGGTGGATCTCCACTCCAGATTTTCCAGCTGTCCCTGTCCCCCCCCACCGCTCAGAGAGCAGGATGCTGAGATGGCTCGGTGATGCAGAAGGTATGTGCTTTTTCAGTTCTGGTGCTGATGCTGTGTGTGTGGTGAGGTCTCTGTGGCGCAATGGACGAGCGCGCTGGACTTCTAATCCAGAGGTTCCGGGTTCGAGTCCCGGCAGAGATGGTCACCTGGCAGGTGCCTCTTTTATTTTGAATACTGTCATGCTAGGTTGATAATTATATTTATTCCTCCCTGGAGGCTATAGGGGAGAGAAAGGAAACCCTTTTCCTTGAGAATCCTGGACCTTCTCTCCTTTTCTGTCCCCTCATTCTTCATTCTTTCTGTATTCCTCTCTTATGGATTCTCATTGTCTACTAGAGGCTCAGATGTCTGCTGCGTCTCTCTGCTCAGCCCGACTGACACAGCGTTTGAATCCTTTACTTCACGGTTAGATAATTGGCACATAGTGACCAAGACGCAAAGTCACAGGTTTTGGAACTAATATGGTTCCCTCCTTTGACCTCTGAGACCACAAAAGGGCAGATTGTCCCATATGTCAGTGAGGATATGTCCAACTGTCCTCTGAGGTGATACCTTCTTTGACCAAAGGGTTATCATTTGGTGGATGTCAGGAGGTAGACGGGGTCGTGCAGAGGATAATTTCTTGCACTGTCTGTCAGCTATACTTTTTCATTCCTGGGGCTTTTTGTGCTCAAGCTCATCACTCACTTCCTGATCTATCAGGTGAAGTGTAATCATTGCTCTTTGTCTCAGTGGTATAAACCACAGAGCAACACACTAATTACCAGCAGCAAGTTGGATGAGCTTGTCCCCAGAAACTTGAAGGTTTCATACTTAAATGCTCTTTACTGTGAAAAGTTTGTACCCCTTTTTGTTCGTAGGACAAACTTCAAGTGTTGTATCTGAATGTTATTTCCATAATTTCTGATTTTCAAAAAGCCATCTTCTCACCTCCTGTCTCCTCCCGCATTCACTTCTGCTGTCTCCTTGTCTTGTCTAAAGGGCCACGTTTAGCCAGATTGGAGCTTGGTCAGATTGTGATGTAGCTTGGGTTTCTATTTTGGGCTGGTCTGGCTCTCTCCCTTGCATGTTGCTACCTCTAGCTTATTAGCTAGAGGGAGCTGCCCCTGCCAGGAACCGACCTCCACCTCAGGTGAACCCAGGAAACCTGAGAAGATATGTTCCCAGGACTGCTGGGGAGACTCAGCATCTCTCCCATGCGGGACTCTGGACGAGTGACCAGAGGACACAGCTGTGCACTTGCACTGTAAGGAAGCCGAGGTAGGGGGAGGCAGGAAAGTCCACATAGGAGTTTAAAGCAGCCATGCCAGAAGGTAGGGGGAATTGATGGGGTAGACAGGAGGACCCTGGAGGGAGATAAATGCTTTCTGCTTCCATGTGTGCATGTTTATAGCAAATGGAAACTTTGGAAATTCTCTTGAAGTAGTATGGTACTTCAAAGACTTAAAATTCTTGTAGTAAGAGCTAACATGGCTTCACATTTCTGGGTTACCTTGGAGGAAGGCCAATTCAGATGTTATCTATCTCCCACCAGTCCCATAGATACGCCCTTTGGAGGACATGGTGTGGACCAGAAGTTCCTGGGCATTCTTTCCTGGAGCCTTTCGTTTATTGTTAACTCAGCCTATCTTAGATATTTTTGCTTTAAGCCCTGGCCTGAAAGGAAAAATTAGTATGTGGTGGTGGGGGCGGGGTGGGGAAGGGGAAGGTAAAGGGAGTTCAGGAAAGGAGTATGTCACTTTTTTCCACCATAATCTATAATACTGCATACATCTTCCTGATTCTCCCTGTATCATAGCATGGTAATGGAGGTGCTTAACCATGAGAATTCTGAGAGGGTAGGGATATTATTTCTGTATCACTGTTAAAATTCGGGGTGAGGGTGGAGGTTTGTTCTGGTCCACTCTATGATTTGCTCATTTCTAGAGTCTTTCTGGAAATAATGATCAGACTTCATGGAACTGTGAGGGCTGGGGATGAGGTGGGAACAGGGTGGGTATGTGTGCCAAATAGACATTGCGTTGGAATTTGTTTAATGTTTGATCAGAGTGTGATAGAGCCAGCTCTTTCTGTGAAGCTCTATACCTGTGAGAATTAAAATCCACGGATGATTCCCCAAGCCTGATTCTATCCTGTCGTTTCTATTCCCTATCTTGGAGTCAGAGGACCTTGGTACAAGAAGTAGTTTTGCCAAGTTGCTGAACATCTGCACTTTAATTTGCTTATGTATTAAAAACAGAGTATATTATCTTTCCTACAAGTGTAAAAATGGATGAAAAAGTTTGTTGTGCAGCGCTGTACAAATATAGAGGCTATGTTAGTTTTCAAGTTGCTTTTGTCTTTCTCCCAAGCATATGAGGAGGGTACCTGGACACAAAGTGGGGAAAGGAAAGGGTCTGAATGCTCAGCCGCTGCCTGGAACATCCAGGGTGGCTGTGAGTCATCATCGGGAGCTGATGCCGCCCTGTGCTACCCTAAGAAAGAGGACTGATTGGACTTTTTTAGCTGGCAGGATCCTTCAGAGGCATGTGGTCCCTCTGTGCCCTAGATAGGAGACTTTATCTCAGCCAGGTAGGTAGAGGGTCCTCCTGGCTACCCCACTTAAGGGAACTAGAAGCTTCTGCTTATTTAACTATTGCCTAACCTTCAACTCTCTTCATCTCTGAGGGTTGGTGTTTTGGAGACTTGAAGGATATCACCAGGACTTGGGAAAAGATTTTCCATGAGTAAAAATTCTTCTGTGTGATAACAATTTTCTTTTGAATACATAAGGGATATCTCCTAATTTATGAACATCATAATTACTGTATTTTAAAGATATTCAGAATATAAAATAGAAATGGGTGTGTTTTTTATAAAGTCACTTCACTGCAGGACTCAAATACTTCAGAGATGCTGTAGCTGATCATTAATTGCAAAGTATGTGGGCAGGATATGTGTTATTTATTATTGTATTATCAGTGCCTGAAATATGGTAGGCATTTGATGGATATATTTGAAAGAATTAATGCTGACTTCGATTGACTATAAATTATATAGATAGGAAAGAGAAAGAGATTACTCCTAGCTTCCAGGTAGCAGGAGCACAGGCAGTATCTTCATGCATTAATTCACTTATTTAACAAATATTCGTTAAGCACCCACTTCGTGCCACTTTCCACTATTCCAGGCACCAAAATAGTAGATTCCACCTCCTATGTATTCCCATGATGGCAACAAATGACAGACAGGTAAGTAAACTTTATAATAGCGAATAGCATTTTAGGTAGTGCTATGTGCTATGGAGGAATTTAAAGGATGCTTGAGGGTGGAGAGTGGTGTGATGAATGATGGTCGTGGAAGACCTCTCAGAGGAGGTGGCTTTTGAGTGAAGACCTGAGTGGAGTGAGGGAGGACAATGAGATTTAGGGGGTGGGCATTTCAAACAGAGAAACGGCAAGAGCAGAGACTCTGATGTGGACACCAGCTGGATTGGAAAGCTGAAAGGTCAATGTGGTGGAGTGGAAGGAGTGATGGGAAGAGTTGGGATTAGAGTTTGATACAGGGCACATCATCTAGGACAATGTTCTCAACCCTGTCATATCCAACTCTGCCTTGTTAGGTCCATTATTTTTTCAATTCTCCTCTACTACCCTGCAGTGAAATTCATAGATAACATAACTTACCCATGCCTGTAATGAAAACAAATCAATATAATACCCTAATTGTAATGTAAGAGAGGAATAAAAGGTAATAAACTTATAATAAATAACATATATTTTAGTATGTAAATGCCATACCAGCAGCCTTGCACCTATATGAAGAACCACCCTAAATGCAACAGCTATATGTGCAGACCGATGCAAGCATGCTGCACTGCTGACTTAAATCTCATGAGGGATGTCGTTCACCAGCAGTGTCATGGTTTTCCAGACTGGTGAACACTTTTGGATAAATTTTTGATCAAAACGGAGTAAGTCTTCTTGCAAAATGCATAGTACTTTGCATTCCTGGAAAATTTAGGAAGTTTTAAATCATGCAGAAAACTCTCCAACATAGAAAGACAAGTTAGACTCTAGGCTCAGATACCAGCACATTTTTGTTTGTTTGTTTGTTCGAGATGGAGTCTCGCTTTGTCACCCAGGTTGGAGTGCAGTGGCGCGATCTCGGCTCACTGCCACGTCCGCCTCCTGGGTTCAAGCGATTCTCCTGCCTCAGCCTCCTGAGTAGCTGGGAGTACACATGCACAACAACACGCTCAGCTAATTTTTGTATCTTTAGTAGAGACGGGGTTTCACCATATTGTCCAGGCTGGTCTTGAACTCCTGAGATCAAATGATCCACTTGCCTTCGGCCTCCCAAAGTGCTGGGATTACAGGCATGAGCCATTGTACCCGGCCCCAGCACACAGGTTTTAATAGGTCATTCAGAAGTATACATCATGGGTCAATTCTTCGTTGTGAGAGATGCCGTTGCACATTCTGGGACTCATAAGTCCAGCATGCTCTACCTCTCTACAGCTAACCATGGCCGCCAGTCATTATAACAAAAAAAAACTACTCCATCAAATTTTCAAACCACTTTTGAGGGGCAATTCCAGTGCCCCTGGCAATCACTGACATAAGGCTTGTCGGTGAGGCTTTTCTAAATGTTAGTGAGGACCATTGACGAGTTTGAGCGAAGGTTCTGCTTTCTATGTTAAAAGGCAAATTTTATCTGTTGGTAGAGAACAGACAGAGATAGAATAGATAAGTAGAGAATAGAGTCACATGTGTAGGCAGGTTTACAGCTCTGCTTGGCCCAAAGCCTTTAGAAGCAGCAAGCTGTGGCGCTATGGTTCCCAAGCGGTGGTGCTGTACCACCGGAGGTGGAGGGTTTTATAACAGTCCACCTACAAAAGTGATTTATCATCTCTGGAGAGCTTACCTGACACAGATCACCTATTTTTAAACTAGTTATTTTTAGTTATTGTCGTTACAATAGTTATTACCTAGTGGTAAACATGTTCATTTTGCTTATATTTAAAGCTGTAGCAAATAGAC